AGAAACAGCGACACCCGCCACCCACCCCAGGCTCTCCGTGTTCTAGAGCGACACCGAGCCCCTGAACTCACCGCTCTCCTTGCAGAGCACGAAGAGGAACTCTGCGGCGCAGTGCTTCACGTCGGTGTCGATGTGGGTCATCAGGCGCACCAGCTTGTTCCGCAGCGAGTTCCCCACCTCCGGCCGATTCCGCACGTCCCGCAGCGGCGGCAGCACCGGCAGGGCCACAGCCAGGGCAGTCAGTGGAGCTGGAGCAGCAATGGCAGCTCAGAGGGGGGAAATGTGCCACCTATCAGCTCAAACTGATAAATCCACAGAGCGTGGAGACGTGGGAAAAATGCTGTGGGGACCAACGGCCTCAACCACCTGCCTATCAGAACGCAGCGGAGACCCCAAGGAGGTCTGCGGGAGGATGGCAACAGTGGTCAGGCAGGTTGCTGTTCTCGTCCCACTTTTGGCGGAACCGCAGCGTACCTTCGCCTTCAGGAACTTCCTCGTCTGGCGGTGGACTCGGGCGCTCTCCGTCAGCAGGTTCAGCACCGGGGTCAAACTCTCCTTCAGCTTGTGGCCCTGCAGAACAAGCACCCCGTCAGCCATGCTGCGCTTGTGGCGGGGCACACGGGTACGGAGCGCTGGCGAAGCAGGGGGACCCCAAAGCTTTCCAGCCGGGCTACAGGGATTCCGGTGCTTCGTCACTCCTCGAGCAGCAGGACCCTCCTCTCTAGCAGAGCTAGGAACACTTGTGCAGGGCCCCCAGAGTAGAGAAGTGCTGCAGTGAAATTCGGAAGCTCTTTGGAATAACTCCAGAGACTGACCACCACAGCCCACTTGGAAATAACGCAAATCCAGGCTTGCAGAAGCTGCCCACCAGATCACTGCTGAGCGAAACAGAGCAGCGATCCTGCCACCGCCCAGCGACTCGTCTGCTGCTCAACCATCTCACCTCCTGCAGCCCGCAAAGCCATGACAGAGTCACCTGCAGTCCTACAACCACAACAGCTTCACCTCTGCTGAAACTGACCCTTCTGCAACGGTATCTCCAAAGGATCCCCGCCTGCCTGCTGCTCCCACGGCGCTGGCACCGGGCTCTTCCAGGCTGAAGGAAAGGTGCCCCGCAGGGAACTCACGACAACGAGCAGCGACGGCCTCGCGCAGCAGCCTCTGAACTCACCCGGTCGAGGCGCCGCTCCAGGAAATCCAACAGGACGTTGACCGCGTCCATGTTGACGCCCATGTACTCCAGGGAGCCTGGCCGCACCTTCGGGGTCAGGAGGACATCCAGACACTTCAGGGGCAGGTTGCCCAGGAGGTTAACCGTGTGGCTGAGCACAGAAAAGAGAAGGGAACACACAGGCATGGATCTTTGTTCACAGCAGCTCTTCAGCTCTCCAGAAACAAAGGTTCATTACGAACTTCCAGGAGCCCGAGGACCCCAAGATGCAAGTCACCTTTGGGCTGCACCCCAAGCTCCTCACACCACTGAAGGGAAGAAGTTAAACTGGTTCTTGGGGAGCTGGCAACTGGGAAACCACAGATGTTGACACAGGGGCCAAGCAGGACCAGTCGGGGTGGTCAAAGGTCTGTCTCGAGGCTCTCCTGCGGCATCACTCCTCCCCACCCTGATGGTCAAGGCCACACGCTGCTCAGGACTCCTCTGGCTCTGGGTTTCTTGGGGACGGGACGGTGTCACCTGCTCACCAGTAATGCTCAGCAGGGTGACACAGGCAATTTCTCAGCATGGCTCAAGAGACAGAGAGTTAATTAAGGCCAGCCCATGGACTCTCCAATTAAAGTATCGAACATCTGCTACGGCAAGTTGCCCCTGAAGTGGGTGGCCCTGTCGAGGAGACCTGACGTGGGATATTGGATGCAACCCTCGGGGTCGGGCAGGCTCAGAGAAAACATTTCCTCCTGCAGACCAGTGGCTGTGGCACCAGCACACGGAACTGGACGGTGGGCAGGGCAGGGCTGGGCTCGTGCCCCGTTTTGGCAGCGTGAGGGACCTGCAGGTCACACCGCAGCCGCCCGCTCGGCAGCAGCGACCCGAGCAATCACCCTCACGCAGGGGATGCTAATGCCGAGGTCAGGCGGGATCCGCCTCGGGGAGACCTCGGGTCTGTTTATAGCGAAGATCACAACCCGGTTATCTAACAGACCTGTGGAACTCCTCGGTCCGGTCCTCCCCGTCAGCAGAGATCATCAGGCAGTGGCGCAGGAGGGCACCCAAGTGCCGATACAAAGCAGCATCTTCCTGGCCCCAAACCAGAAAACGAGAACCTCAATCAGGACAGGGGACCCCCCACATCCCAGAGCCCATGCCCCTGCCGCCCACCATCCCAGCCCTCCCTCCAGCAGCCTGGTAACCGGCAGCAGGGTGCGTGAGTGCAAGCAGCCTCCTGGTTCTCCTTCTGCGGTCAACACGCAGCCCTCCTGCTGCCCAGTGCCTCTCCCCTCGCTCTACAGCCCCGAGCCAGGGCTGGAGGAGATCCCAGAACAGGCCCAGGATTATCCAGAGATGTTATCCATCCCCTGACCTCCCGCAGCAGGTGAAGCAGTAACACACCACACTCCGAAGCAGGTTATCCGGGGGCTCTGCTTTCCCACGTGTGCAACGGGTCATGTCATTAAGAGGGAAAAACACCCAATTTCTAACTGTGAATGTTCTGAAAGTCTCCAGGGTTAACGATGCACTGGATGGAGGCAGCGCTCTAGGGAGCAGGGTCTGGACACACGGGTCTCTGCTACCCTCACACGTACCCGGGGGCTGCACGAGGGCCAGAACGTAACAGGAGGAGACGCACGCGGAGGAGAAACCCAGTCGTCAAACCACAGCCCGGAGAGAGGCGAGTGCCGTGGGGCGAGACACCGAGGAGCTTACCTCGTCCACCTCCCTCTTGCTGGAATCGAAGGTGATGTTGAAGAGCACTTTCAGGATCTCCATGGCTCGCTCCGTCTCCTGCCGAGGCAAAGGCGGGAGAAGTCCCTCCTCGGTGGCAACCTCGTAGGGGTCCATCCACTTCACCCCGAGGGTCAGCTCCAGGGTGTCTGTCATCAGGGCGATGCCCCGGAGCTCCTGGGCGAGCTGCTGCCGGACATCCACCCTCA